TCACACTGGTCTAAATTTTCTTTGGCCTTAGGAAGTCTGTGCTCGAAGAGTGACTTTTGGGCACTGAAGCCACTCATGCAAGGACTGCTGAAGTTCCTTGCTCGCCTTCGTCAACCCGTCAGCCCACATGAGAAATGTCGGTACCCAATGGAAGTTGCTACCGGGGACCACCTCCTGGATAGCACGTACGTTAACTAGGGACCGTTTATCTGTAAGGTTTGGGTTGTCCGAGATGACGCAGTCGTACAAGGACTTGGCGTCTGTAACTGCTAGCTGGCTGAGTCTCGGAGTCACTTTGTGTGCCGGCTCGTTGAAGAGGAGCTCGCTGAGGAACATGTTCACGTAGGCTCCTCGGTCGCACCCTTCGTCTGCTGCGGAAGCCTCGGCGGCGAGAGTCGATCGGCATACACGTTGTGTTCTGCTGGATCGCCAGTCAAGCAGCATGGCTGGCGAAGGTTTCTCGAGGACGCTCGGCCCACAAAGTAAGACCAAAACACCGCATTGAGAACGACAGTTCTCAGCGTTTGCCCAGCTTGCGTCACTGAAGGTGATGACGATGCTCGCCTTAGTCACCGGGATGTCGGGGATCACGAAGCCGTTCTCCTTGGTGGCAGCGGCGAAGTCCACGGCCTCGTAGAGTGCCTCGAGGTCACTTAAGGTTGTAGCGCCTCCGTGGTTGGAGAGGCTGTTGACAGCCGACAACTCCGGTCGGCTTTGTCCGGCCACCCACTGTAGGCAACCAGTCACGCTGCGAAACTCTGCTCGCTGAGCCGGAGTGAGGGGCTCGTCCAGCTTGCTGCCCCGTGGGATCTTGCCGGAGGCCATACCACCAATGAACTCAACCTGGCTCACGTGAAGGTAGTAGCGGTGGTTTGCGCGCTGCCTCAAAGTGATCTGCTTCCCCTTGAAGGTCACTGTCTTGCCGACCTCGAAGTTTTGGAGTGCCCCCCACTTGAAGGCCTTGTGGACCTCCGTCACGTCGTAGTCAGAGCGGTAGGCGCCGAGAAAGTCGTCGACATAGACAATGATAATCGAAATCAACTGGCCTTGGGCGTCAAACTTTAAGAAGACCATGCGGTCGCAGGAGTGCTGTCGGTAGCCAAGGTCTGTCAGGCGCCGCACCACTGTCAGTGACCACAGTCTTGGTGCGCAGCCCGTATATGTTGGTACACACCAAGTAGAGTGGTGCCTTCCAGCACTGGGTGAGGGCGGTCACTCCGTCGTTGGGCGGCAGGATGTAGAGCGGAAGTGACCTCTCTGCATCCGACAAGTCTCCTTGGAGAAAGGCTGTAGAAGCATCTACAGACCATCCATGCCACCGCTTCTTCGAGGTGCCGAACTCTCCGTTGCTGCCGGCGGTCAGGACGACGAAGTGGACGTGTTCCGAGGTCCGGTTCGTCGTGGCACACTCCCTGTTGAGCCGGTAGATGTCTGGGTCCTTGTGCCCGAGGGCAACTACCCGGCACTTTGCCGAAAGCTTTGCCAGACCTTTGCTCTTGTCGCGGAAGCAGCTGCGTGTCCGGAGGATGCGCTTGCTTAGCACTTGGTCACGAAGCACCTTCTGCGCCTCCGCGTGGCTGAGTGCCTTCACTGAGCCCCAGTCCTGCCAGCTCTTTGCCTCCTTCTCGACCGCCTGGACGTAAGCCTGGATGTCCTCGAGGTCCATCTCGAGGATCT